ATGGGTGGCAAAACCCCTCAACATCCTTACAGTATTTATTACGAAATACCCAAATGATGCACATATGAGGAGTGACCAAAAAAAGTTTAATATTAGGCATCCAACATAAAATTGTATTGGTCTAATGCCTCATCCCAAAAGTTTCTATTTCATTTAGCCCAAAGTCCTAGATTAAATGAGACTAGTAGTTTGATCCTTTGAATCCTTTAACAGGGAGGAAGCCTACATCCACCACGTTAAGTTCTTCATCAACCAATTCCCACAGAAAAGCCGATTGCAGAATCTACTTTGTGAAGTGGAATAAACTCACAACACAAAGGCTCATTATAAATGGCAAAACTGCGTTGAATAAAGTGGGAACAATTGCATGCAAAGTAGACTGCCACCGTGCTGAATGATTTTTCACAGCAAACATGCAAAAGTGTTAGAGATCCCCAGGACACTTTTAAGTAGAAGGAACTATGCATGAACTCTGGAGGTTATACAGTTCTATGTTCCCCAATTTTAATATGTTCTTAAATCCACATGCCCATTTAGTTTGCTTTCAGGAAAGCCTTCAAAATGGACAAGAATGTGGATGCCAACAAAGACCTTAATATGAAACTCACTTTGAAGAGATACAAATATTTGGCTCAAATGAAAATAATGGTATTTTTAAGGTCTAAGATTTGTTCTTCATTAAAAATCACTAGCAAAAAGTAGGGAATTGATTAAAAAAGAAATTGTTCTAATTTCAAGTATATAGAAAAACAATGGGCCATGACATGTCATGACCTGAGGATCTGCAGGTAAATAACCTTATATGTTTAAACTGTATTAGATGAATTATACATCAGCCATTATATATTCATATATATAAAGACATTCCAACTGCCTTAAATGTATCCTCTCTCTCTTTGCATTCCTATGCCTCATTCTCTAACACACATTCCAACAGTGAATATGCCAGAGATCCTATAGACACAGTCTCATTTGTCACACACCCCTTTTTCAGTCCCTAAGCACCATCTATCCTTGCACTGGATAAGACACTGTGGAAAATAACAGCATGCAATCATTTATATTTAAAAAACCTGGGCGAAATATTGGCCTCACTGAAGTCAATGGCAACACCCCATAGTGTAATGCACAGCGTACAAAACAACATATAATATATGAGAGTCTGGCCGTTACCTGGGGATTTTGCCACTAGCTGGTATAGGTGGAAGTGGTAGCAAGAACTGGAAACCTACGTATTTAAAAATATTTGAACTGAGTACTTGTTTCCTGGAGGAACCTATTTGCTGACTCCATACGCTAGGCTCTGATTGCTATGATTGCTCCACAGGCCAAGCTTGTAAAACAAGGCCCTAATTCAAAGAGCACAGATTCTCGAAAGGCATTTCATGAATTAGATGTTATAAATATTCTCTCCCACATTGGAAGTTAGTTAGTAACTGTTTGATGGGTCCTTCCAAGCGCTGGTCTTTAATGTTCAGTTTTCAGAGATGGACATGAATCTCATTGCAGTTTTCAAGAATATTTCTAGTTTAATTATTTTCTCTACTTGGAAAAAGTTCCAAGTTCTGTTCCTGCCTTGCAGTCCGGATTAGTGATGTTAGATGTGGCATGCGCATTTCAGCACACAAAGAAAGATGATGCAACACTTTCAATTACAGGTTAAAAGTCACTTCGTTATTCTGAGCAGGAGAGATCTCTGCAGGTTGAAGAGCTAGCAGCCACTCTGATTTTATGGGCCCATAAATTTATTGTGATGGATGAACTACCTAACCCAAAAAAAAAAATATCTTGAGTTGGTAATAGCACGCTGCACAGCTCTGTTAAGTAGGTCATTCAATATGCCAGGTCTCTGGATATTATTGGGGAGTGAGAAAACATTATTTCTCCACCTCAATGTGCCTGTCTCTTTTCTTGTCATGTGGAACTAACCTTTCATGCTTAGTACTATTACTAATTTATTAGCCTGTTAAACGCCTCAATTGCTGTACAGTCTGTGGACTACATCTTAATGCTTGCTGAAGCAAAGAGTGCTTTAGAAATGTGTGTGTGTGTAAAGCAATAAACCAGATGGGGGAACAATTCTCTGTACCTCTGCGTTTGCTACAGTGAGAGCAAACAATCATCTTCTTGAGCACAGAAGAGCCAGCGGTTGATGTTTGTTATAATTGTTGGTGACTCTTGAAAGCGATGACTTAACTAAAAAAGGTGCTAAATATATTTCTATTCAAATCAATTAAAGGAGAAAACGATTTTACTTCCATTTAGGTTAAATGACTACTGCCCAAATTGCTGTAATACAATTGTGCAGCACTGTCAGTCCAATCTCTTGTGACCTGATTGACTGCTTCTGCCCGCTTGATCGGACTATCTGTTGGATAGATAGGGCCACATTTTCTAAGAAATGAACCTTTAAACTAGCAGTTTTGTCACTAGTAGAGTACACAATGAACATTTTCTGCCCATGGAACTTAATCCAAAGCCCACTGAAGTCACTTACTTAATAGCACTTTGGATCAGGGTATGGTATCTAAGAGCATAAAAATCTATCTAGTGCCTAGGAATGAAGCACAGGAAATCCCTGCACCACACTGGCACTGTCCCAGCACTGTTCTTTTAGGAAAAGGCCTTTCCCCCCCAAACCTAGCTCCTGGATGTTGAGAAGATACAGATAGACATGATGTGTGATTCCACATAGCCATGTTCTTCGGAACCTTTTACTGCCAATCCATTCATATTTACTGCTGCCCTATGTACCCAACGGGGATCTCTCTTCTCCTGTGAAAGCCAATCTACATATCTTTCTTTATAAGCTTCATTATGAAATTCAGCTCCTCCTAGCACAAATCTTCCCTTCCACTGGTGAAAAGAATTCTCCCACCATTACCATCAGGGTGTCAAGTGGCTGCATAGGCACTCCACTGCCATTACTACAGCCCTGCATAGTAACTACTGTGGCTGTAACACAGAGGATCCATGTCTAAGTGATCCATGCAGCCACACTGCAGGCCTTCCCCAGACTGCACTTCCTGGTCCCTAGGGGTTAGCATGCAGGGAGCTCGGTTCTGCATTGCACACCTGTATCTGTGCAGCCACCCCTTATATTGCACCCCACCTTGTGAAGCACACTGGGTCCCACTGCCAGAAGGCCCTCTCCCTCCTTGGAGGAAGGGAAAGGATTTCCGCTATGTGAATAGTAGAATTGCAGTCCACTGCTTTGTCAGCAAAGTGTTCACATTGCTTTCGGTAATGCACAGCTCTGGCATGGCTCCAGAGGAAGAGGTGTAATCTCAGGAAGTTTGTTTAAGTGACAGGTTTATAGCCACAAGAAGCAGAATGGATGTTTTGACACAGCGTGAGTTGTATTAGCTTGTCCCATGAAAATGCCTTCAAGCATTTCTTCCCTGGTCCCATATCCGTCTGGGTTCCGCCCAGGTTCTGGAGCAGAGTTTTCAACTCTGGACTGGCAATTCATGGCACATTGCAGGTAGCAAGGTGGGAATTACAAGAGAGGGTAAGATGACAATCTTAAACCTAAACTGGATTGTTGCTGTGCTTTCTTTTTCAGCCTTACCTAAGGGTACGTCTATACTTACTTCCTGGTCCGGATGTAAGCGATCGATCTTCTGGGATCGATTCATCGCGTCTTGTCTAGACGCGATAAATCGATCCCGGATCAATCCCGGAAGTGCTCGCCGTCGACGCCGGTACTCCAGCTCGGTGAGAGGAGTACGCGGCATCGACGGGGGAGCCTGCCTGCCGCGTCTGGACCTGCGGTAAGTTCGGACTAAGGTACTTCGAATTCAGCTACGTTATTAACGTAGCTGAATTTGCGTACCTTAGTCCGAAGTGGGGGGTTAGTGTGGACCAGGCCTCAGACTGGGTGCATCTGTAGGCCCATTTTAACCTCTCCCAACTCTCCCCCTTCCTCTACATCTTGTACTTTGCTGACTGCATTGACAGCACTGAAGAACCATCATTCTTCTTCCTGTGCAGCATCTTGTACAAGCTACTGTTGCCAGAATGATACTAGGCTCAAAGAACCACCAGTCTGTTCTGGCTGGGCAATTCCTATTTTACTATAAGCATTGAGCTCTCTTTTTTCTATGGCTGGATTGTCTTTAAAACATCATCATAGCCTTACAGTAATTTCAGATGAGATGCCTTAGGTGCAGCTATAGAAAAAAAAATCTGTTTCAACTGTAAAAGGATTTCAGTTAATGCTCAATAATCTATAAATCACTGTTATGAGATTTCCCTATGCAAATCAAATGTATATGACCCTCATCAATCTTTAAAAACACCTCCATAAAGATTAAATTTTGCAGCTGCAATGCGAATGAAAGGATCTGTTAACTTATTTTCAAGATACATCTTTATAGCTAATTAATTTTCACATGGAGTGTTCTTTGAAATGACTAACAGATAGTGAGCTTTGCTGATTGATTATAAAACGAGAAGGTGGGTTAAAAAAAGAGAGTTGTGAATATAAAATCACTGTCAAGCTTTATTAACCTTGCCATATTAAAATTCTAAACTGAGTAAGCAAGAGAAGCAGGTATTAACATAATACCTTTGAGTATAATTTATTTATTTCACATCAATAAATTCCTCTTAGTTGGTCCATGTCCCATCAGCATGGCCTCTGATCTGGATTTTAGTAGACTGGAGAGTGAACTTCACCTTGGAAGAAGTAATCATTTGGATTCTATTGGACTATAAAACACAGCCTTATATATTATGTAAAAGGAATGAAAAAAGAAAATAAGTGTAATTCATATGTCACTCTCATAGGGCAGATACTTTGAGCTTCAAATCTACAGGTAGCTTTTATGGAGCGACCATTAATGAATAGCCACAACTTTTACTGACAGTCTAGTTAATCTGCACTGACCTGAAAACATCAAGACTAAATTTGGATTGCTATTTGCTACACAGACTCCGTGGCGGGTTCTCAATCACTTTTCCCCTAGGAATGGTGAGAATCAGATCAAGTGCCTTACCCGTTTCCTCAGATTGCAAGTGAGCGTGAGATTCCTCGAGAAGGAGTTTGCAAACGCTGTATAAAAGTCCAGAACTTTCAGCAAGGCTTCCCGTTTAATAATATGTAAATCGCAGTACGTCAGCGCCCGGACATTGGCACACGCATGGGCCAAAGTGGTTTCTTTCCAGAAGATATCGCCAAACACATCACCTTTACCTGAAAAAAAGAGCAGGACACCTTTATTAAACCACACATATACACTGCTCTTCAGCAAACCAATTAGTCCCTTCCCCAAATTTTCTTCAGTTCCCAATTATTTTGAATTTAGGCCCAGATTTTTAAAGGTATTTAGGCATTGCTCTGTTCAGCACTGCAAGGCCTAATAAATTTTGGATGTGGACTTAGGCTCCTAAGTGACTACATCACTTTTGAAAATGAGACTTATTAAGCTCCCTTTAAAAACTGGATTGTGGGTGTGTGTGTGTGAAAATTTTACCCTTAAGCACATGCTAAAGCTATGTGCGTGCTTAAGTGCTTTGTTGAATCTGGGCCTTACTGAAGTATCTAATGATTAGAGCTGATCAAACTATTAATTAAGAATAACATTTGCTAAAAAAATCAACTCCCTTTTTTGGCTAGCAAATCATTCACAAAGAGATCCTGATTCCTGTGAACGAACTTGTTCATTCGCATTCACTGAATAGTTCTGACAAATAATTGTCTAGTGAATTGTTGTCCATGACTGTTTGCATTAAATATTTTCTAATTGTGTTGTGCAATTGGGCATCTGTTTTTACACCCTAACTGAATGACATTTTATTTTTAAACGGGAGAATAGCAAATGGTAAATAATGTGTAATGAGCTTGTGTTTTATGTTTTCAGCTGCACAATCATCTGCTCTAAAATTTGTGAAATATTGGCAATTTGTGAACATTCTCAAGAATGTCCAATGGTCATTGCAATGAAAAATTGCAAACAACAAACAAACTGACCCCACGAATCTTAGTGAACTGAACATTGAACTTATAGTTAGTTGTATTTGACAATCTGATTTTCTGCTATTTGACCAGTGCTGCTAACAATTAGTTAACAGATTTTTCTAGATGAATTATTATTAATGATTGATGTTACAGTATTGTCCAAAAGCCCAATCAGGATCAGAGCCCCACTAGGATGGGCACTGTAGAAACATATATTAAGATCTCATTCCTGCCTTGAAGACTTTACCATCTAGATTAAGACAAAACTAGATATCTGAACATTTACTGGTACTTCTTAACACTTCTAAAACACGGAGCCAGTGTTATCTCATTTCAGTAACAACTAGTGTATATAAAATCCATGCCTCCAGAGCTGGGTTTGGCCAAAGCTATTAGGAAGGTAGTGGCTCAAACTATTCCTTTTATTTGGATGTTGCAAAGTGAAATGATAGGTACCTATCATATTCTGGGGTGACACAACTCCTCACTAGTCTGAAGCTGATTCTGTTGCAAAAGCAATTTTCGCTATTTTTAGCAGATTGGGTTTCCCTAAGGAGATTTTACCTGAATGTGTGTCAAATTTATGGAAGTTGTGTGAGGCAAAACAACTAAAAGCCATCCCATATCACCCCAAGACAAATGGTCTGTTGAAGAGGTTCAATGGAATTCTAAAATCTAGGCTCAGAATCAAATAAGAGAACCGGAGTCTGGGACAATGTCACTGATGGATTATTACCCTATTTGCTATTTGCTTATAGGAAAGTGCCCCAAGAGTCGGCAGGGTTTGCCCCATTTGATCTTCTATACGGAAAAGAAGCGAAGGGACCCTTAGATCTTATCTGAGACTCCTGAGAAGGGGACACTGTTACAGAAGTTAATGGACATAATGGAAATGGTTCAGACTAACCTCAGGAACAGTCCAAACAAAAGGTGTGGTATGGCCAACATACTTGTAAATGCTCTTTTTAAATGGAGGATCTGAGGTTAGTGCTAAGCACTAAAAGGCAGAATTCTTGAGAAGGACTTTTTGTGGTGACAGAAGAGGTAAATGAAGATACAGACCATGTTAAAAGGCCTCGTGATAATGGGGTCCCACAGCTGGTGCATGTAAACAGACTTAAAGCTTATCACAGCAGGCAAGCTATGGTCAACACAAGCTGTTGTGTAGAAAGGGAAACTGAGGCACATCACCTCACTGATTGATGGCTGAATGCTAGCCTGACTCAGCCCTGGAAAGCATCGATCTCTGCAGTGAGTTAACACCAGTTGAAAAGGCAGAGGTTATCTGTGCTGCAAGAACATAGACAAGTGTTTTCTAGCAAACCAGGGAAAACTGACTTGCTGACTTATATGACCATTACTGTAGGATCACAGCCAACCCAGCAGGTCCTACTGCACCACTGGCAAGGTATAAGAGCAAATTTGCACAGAAATACAAAGCTTGCTGGACCAGGGCTGCAACTATACACAGCCTCCTAGACTGTGACCTGCATGCTGTTTGGCTGTTTGTGAACATCCCGGATTGGGAGCTACAACAGCAAAGTATTGTGAGGCACCCAAGGTTATGGGGCAGGCAGTGACACAACCGCACACTGGTCTGGATTGTACCAGGGAATGTGACCATCCAGTTTTACACAAAAGAAAAGACACACGTTCAATGTCATAGCTAGAACCATGTGTCATGACAAATCTCTCAAGATTAAAACTTTTGCTCATATTTACTGTAAACCAGAGAAGTGGCAGATCTGAAGTGTAGATCTGCAGTGCTGGTCACCCCATCTCAAAAAGCATATTGCAGATTCAGAGAAGGATGATCAACATCCTGGAAAAAATCCTCTCCCATGAAATGACATTGAAAAGATTGGGATTGTTTACCTTAGAAAGGAGATGAATAAATGAGGCTATGATAAAGTATTTAAAATAATGAATAGTAGAGAAGGCAGATGGGGAACTTCTGTTCTCCCTGACTCAGCATAAAAACAAGGAGACATATGGTGATATCAAAGAGTGGGAAATTCCAAATGGATAGAAGGAAATACTTTACTAGACAACATGCAATTAAACTGTGGAACTCATTGCTACAGGAAGTTGTTGAGGCCAAGAATTTACAAAAATTCCAAAGGGATTGGACATGTATATGGATATCAATAATATCCAGGGTGATCATAATTATTAATGACAAAATCTGGAAGGGATATTAAACCTCATGCTTCAGGTCTTAAGTCAATTTCTAACTACTGGAGATCAGGATGAGACCTAATGTGGAGGGTCAGATTATCTCACATCTGCCTACTGTGGGGTTCTTATACCTTCCTCTGAAGCATCTGCTGCTGGCTACTGTCTGATCTAGTGTGGCAATTCCTGTGTTCCTACGTAGCCACTCGGGAAGTGCTGCTTCCAAGAAGAATTTGGATTCAGGCCCTGAAGAACTCACAAAGCCAGGTACCTCATTGATCCCACGAGATGTTCAGTGCAGAAAACTCCTTTGAAACCCCCTTGTATTTTTTTAATGATTTCATTTGATGTGTTTTTCTCTTAGGCCTCCAGAAGCTTAGAGTTGAAAAGAAAAATGATTACAATGGGAGTTAGGCCCCTAACTGCTGAGGCGCTTTTTGAAAATCCCACATGGCCCTATCGGCATCTTTAGGTGTTGAGATACCTTTGAAAATCTGCCCCCAAGGCCCAATAGTGTCAGTGGGTTTAATCACATGCTTAAAGTTAAATATGCCCTTACATGACTACCTAATTGGGGCCAAAAGCTAACATTTGCATACATGAATAACTTAACTCATATGTGGCAAGTTATATGAATAATTATTGGCAGGTTGGAGCCCTAAAATAGTAGTTCTGACTGTGGTTAACAGTTGGAAAGACACCCCTCTGGAGTAGCCAAAATTACCTTCTCTTGCCTAATTGCTTTTCTAGCAATATGCTGAGTGAGGTCCAATATTAGGACGGTGCCTGATATCCAAATTACTTGAAGCAGCCACTGTAGAAAAAGTGAATGTATAAAAAGAGGGTGGCGTTCAGAAGTATCCTCCTCCTTTTTTACAAAATGCTCACCTTGAGTTTAACAAAAGTTACAAACATTTTTAGGACCCTTAAAAGGAAACAAAGTATAAGGGACTTGGTGTCTAATTCAAAACCCAGTAAAGTCTTTTCATAGAGTTTAAGGCCAGATGGGACCATTAGATCATCTAGAACTGAACTCCTGTCTATCACATGCTCTTAAATTTCACCCAGATCTCCCTATATTGAGCCCAAATACTTTAGTTAAACCAAAGCATTTCAGTCCTCAGGAGAGTAAACGGTTGTGAGCCACAAGCCAAGACCAGGAAAGACTGAGGTGCCACTAATGCCAGGGGCTCTTGCCATGCAGGAAAATGAATAGGTGAAATATACCCAGATGATACCCGTGCCCCATGCTGCAGAGGAAAGTGAAAAAAACGCAAGGCCTCTGCCAATCTGACCGGGGGGAAAATTCCTTCTTGACCCCCAAATCCAGTGATCAGTTTGACCCTGAGCAAGACACACCAGCCAGGCATCTAAGAAAGAGGTTCCTTAGCACTCTCTCCATTGATTTCAATAGCCCTTGGATTGGGCCCCGGTGAGGGTTTATTTTATAGCTTGGAGACTTTATTTTCCCAAGTAAAGAATGATAGTACATGTATAATATTTTTATTGCCCATACTCTCAAATATTTGCAACATTTTCTAAGGATACTTTGCAGCTTTGTTTGGGAACTACATACACTAACCAAATTAACAATCTGCCAGATCAAACCGATCTCATTGTTCCGTGTGGCCTGGGGTTTCATTTCTGTGTATTGTTTATGGTATTGTATGTGCAGAATATTATTCACTAGATCTTTGAAGGTTTGCAAAACATGAATAGGAATTTCTATTTGGAGTAAAGTAAAAATTGCTGATGCTTGTCTTGGTTTTATTTGTCTCTATTTTACATGCAATAAAAAATGTCTACATCTTGGAATCATCTCTTCTAATGAAGATTATAAAGGCTTTCTTACTGAGTCTGGTTTTCAAAGGATTTTTTTAAAATGAGGGTGAATACGGAATACATAATCCAGCTAATGCATTTTACAAAATGAGATGGCATAAAAGTTTAAATGCTTATTGCAGAGCATTTACGAGTAATTTATCACTTATCTAATGTACTGATTTTAAAATGCCCTTTCTGTAGTTAATTGTCCTTGTTCATAAACACAGTTCTGTTCC